ATTCCACCCCCCCTTTTTTTCCTTTAAATTATTTTAGTATTACAGACTGAGCATCCCTAATCTGAAAATCGGAAATCCTCTAAAATCTGAACCCTTTTGAGCACTGACATGATGCTCAAAGGAAATGCTCATTGGGGCAGAGGATTTTAGATTTTCAGATCAGGCATGTTCAGTCAGTAAGTATAATGCAATATTTCAAAATCTGAAAAAATAGGAAATCCTAAATATTTGAGATATCAAGCATTATGGATAATGGATACTCAACTTGTATTTAGGATTCCATTTTAGTATCACTATTGGCTTATTAATTTCAATGTTGTAATGTTTACATTATGCTTGTGTAACCTAGCATAATCTACCATTACATAGTATCGTTACCACTTCATATGTAATATAAGAACCTTTACATCAGTACTCCCAGTTCGTTCATCCCACACTTTTTGCTGTTGTCATTTTTCGTGTGTATGTCTCTGTCTCTCTCTCTCTCTCTCTCTCTCTCTCTCTCTCTCTCTCTCTGTGTGTATGTATCAGTCAGGGTGCAATTAAGAGACAAAAAAAAATACCCCTAATTTAAACAGAGGACATTGATGTGAAGAATTTTTATCTAGCAAAATGTTATTAACTACTAAAAGGGATCAAGGAAGACTATAGAATTCATGATTACTTAATACAAAAAAGCAGCTACTACTTCTCGGCTGAAGGAAGGTAGACAATGAGCAAACTAAAGACTAAGCCTAAAAACTAAGAGAGCCTCAAACCCTGGGCTGAGATTTAGACCTTCTTAGAGAAGATATGGCTGCCACAAGAACATATTACCTAAGAACATATTCAGGTGGTAAAGAAACTTGCCAGAGGGTTGAGGCTAGAGCTGGTCTATGACATCAACTCACTGTTGCAGGAGGGTGTTGACAGTGTGGAGTTGCCTTTCTGCTTGTCTTTCAGAGTCACACCAGCACCTTCTTTTGACAAAACCTATCATTAGGCCAACTGGTGAAAGAGAAGTGTTGTCAGGGTTCAGCTCCAGTATCATATGGACTACAAAGAAGGTAGATTTGGAGCGTAGAGACAGTACATTGATAACTGGCAAAATATATAATTATAATTTTAAATTTAATGGTTAAAGAAATCAAAAATTATGAAAAACATTTTTATATTCACTCCTGTATTCTCTCATATTTGCTTTGCCTGAAAAGTCTATATTTCTCCTTTTAAAAAAAAATTAAGCTTTTTACTTTAGTCATAGCTTCATATGTAGTTGTAAGAAGTAATACAGAAGTCTCCTGTCTACCCTTCTCCCAGTTATCCTTGATGTTAACATTTTGTGTTACAAGGATCACTACCAGGAGATTTACATTATAATTGTGATAGAGATTGCATTGAATCTGGAGATCAATTTGTGGCATATTGCAATCTTAACAATATTATATCTTTCAATCCATGAATGTGGGATGTCTTTCCATTTGCTTTGGTCTTCAGTTTCTTTCAGTAATGTGCTGTACTTTTCATTGTAAGAGTATTAAATTTCTTTTCTTGAATTCATTCCTAAGTATTCTTTGTGATGTTATTGTAAATGGAATTTTTTTCTTTATTTCTCTACAGAATTGTTCACTGCCTAATATATCAAAGATACAACTGATTTTTGTCTATTGTCTGGTATCCTCCAACCTTGCTGAACTCATTTGCTAACTCTAATAGCTTTTTCCCCTGTATGTGTGGATTCCTTAGGATTTTTTATAGAAAAGATCATGTCTTCTGCCAGTAATGATAGTTTTACTTTTTTCTTTCCAGTGTGTATGCCTTTTGTTTCTTTTATTGACTAATTGCCCTGGCTAGAACATAGAATGTTGAATAGAAGTGATAAGATTTCTTGAGGTGTTCTTGATTTTTCAGTCTTTTGCCAGTATGTGTAATATTAGCTGTAGGGTTTTTCATAGGTACCCTGTGTAATTGAGAAAGTTCCTTTTCACTCTCATTTGTTAAATGTTTTTAACATTGAAAGGATGTTTTATTTTTATCACATTACTTTTTTTTTACCTACTGTCATGATCATGTCTTTTATTCTATTACATTGATACTTATACACTGAGCCAACCTTACATTACTGAGGTAGATCCTATTTGTACATGGAATACAATTCTTATTATATATTGCTATATTTGGTTTGTTAGTATTTTGTTGTGAAATTTTTCATCTGTCTTCATAAGGGATATTACTCTGTACTCTTGTGATATCTTTGTCTGGATTTAGTATCAGGATACTTCCTCCCACTCACTCCTTCCTTCCTTTCTTTCTTCTTCTCTTTCTCCTTTCTTTTCTCTGTCTTTCCTTTTTCAAAAATATTTGCTCAGTTGCCATAGTGGTCAACTAATAATTAGACAGAGATGTCCTTAACTGTCTGAATTTAATAAGTCCCCTAGTCTGCCAAGGAACTACTCAGTGTGTGTATTGTGGCATGCCTTCTTCTCTCAGGCAGCTGATGACTCTGCCTTAGCCTTCACTTCTTGCTTATATAGAGCCTCAAGTTCAGCAGAAATGAGAGCTTAGGGTCTTCTCAGTTCTTGCCTGAGTGTTTGTATAGCCCTGGACATGCATACAACCCTACATATGCCTGTAGTCCTCTAGATTTTCAGAAATATGCCAGAGCTTTTTAAAGCTCCTGTGGACATCTCCTTCTCCAGCTTTTCCTTTTAAAATTTCTGGTTTGTCTATTGCGTGTTCCAATTGTCTTAGGCAGCTGGGAAGTTAAACAGTTGTCTATAATTTGTTTCAACTTACAACTCTGGGGAAAGGGTTTTACACAGGGCCAGGTCCTTATCACATCAAATAAAGACAACCTTGCAAGTGGGCTCTTCAAGGGATGAGACAAGTCTCTAGTTCTCTGGGAATGAGGCTTTGAAGAAGTTCCAGCCCAGTTCTCCTCCCTTGGGTGCTTTTCTCTTTCATTATGGGCTGTAGGTTTTTCAGGTTTCTGCAGAGGAGGAGAGAGGGGACTAGGACTAGAGCAAGTGAAAACACCGCAAAGTTCACAGGCCACTGTTCTTGCTGACATTCAGACATTTTTTCTTGAATAAATGCTCCCTGTATTACCATAAGCCTTTAGTTCATTTCCAGAGTTATGTACATGTAGCTTCTGAAAAATTTTGCCAGTATTCTTCTTGATTTTATGAAAGAGGATTTTTGGAGGTTCTTACTCTACTACTTTTGCTCAGATTTTTTAGTTGTATAAGAAACTTTCAAAAAATTTTCCAGGTTAGCTGTACCATTTTGTACTCCCCCTAGCAGTATATAATTGTTCCAGTGTCTGCTTTTGCTATAGTTAGTATTTTTTATTTTAGTCATTTTGTTAGATGGTTTGTGATTTTGTCATATTGTAGTTTTCATTTTTATGTCTGTAATGGCTAATCATATGTAACATCTTATCATGTACTTATTTATTATATGTATCTTTTTTTGATAAAATATATGTCCATCTCTGTTGTTCATATTCTAATTTTATATTTTGTTTCTGAGTTATAGGAACTCTTTACATATTCTAGAAACTACTCTTCTGTTATATGTGTTGTTTACAAATATTTTCTCCCTAGTATTTAGCTTGTCTGTTCATCCTCTTTATGTCCTTATGTTATTTTTTTGCAGAACAAAAGTTTTACATTTGTTGAAGCCAAGTTTCTCAGTTTTTGCTTTTATGTTCAAGCTTTTGAGAATTTTTAATCTATCCCTAGGTCCCAAAGAGTCTCTCCTATTTTTCCCCCTAAAAGTCTTACTGTTTTTTGTTGTAAATCCATCTTCTATATTATTAATTTTTTTTTTTTTTTTGAGATTAGAATTCGTAGTCACCGGTTTTGTTTTATTGTTTTTTCTTTTAGCACTTTCATGATGTTCATTATCCCCTGGCTTACATAGTTTCTGAGAAATCACCTACTATTGTTCTTGTATTTGTTCCTTTGTGTGTAATGTGCCTTTTTTTCCTCTTGGGCTACTTTGAAGAGTTTTAATATTTTCAGTTTTTAAATTTTTTGAGTAGGAGTCTTGCTCTGTTGCCCAGGCAGGAGTGCAGTATCACGATTACAACTCACTGCAGCCTCTACCTCCTGAGTTTATGTGATCCTTCCACCTCAGCCTCCCAACTAACTGGGACTACAGGCGTATGCTACCATACCCAGCTAACTTTTTTTTGTTTTTTTGTGGAGACAAAGTTTGATTTTTTTGTAAAGACAAGGTCCCGCTGTGTTGCCCAGGCTGGTCTCAAACTGGGCTTATACAATTCATCTGCTTCTGCCTCCCAAAGTGCTCTGAATAGTTGGTTACTGATGATTCCATGAAGCCTCCACCAGAGTGTGCTAAAGATACTTCAGTGGGCTAAGTGTTATTTACTTAGACTTGCCTAGACTTGTCAGCCTCGGCAACATCTTTTTAAAGAGAGGAGTTTAATTTCTTGTTTATGAAATATCTTTTGCTGATAAATAAATTCTGTACCTTGACAATTCGGTATTTCTACAGATACTGTAAATGTTGAGTATTTAATCTCTTTATTCTTGGTTCTCAATAAGCAGACTAGCTAGAAATGTCTTTATTTTGTGAAGTTATTCTTTAGAATCTAAAAGTAGCATCTTTCTTTACATAATAGATATTAATTTTTCATTACACTATTCATTATTTTTAACCTGAATAACTTAAAATGAACTGGGGAAGCTAGTCATTTGTTTTATGAGGTCGAAAAAAACCTCATAATTTATCTGTTATGCGTGCTTTTAAGATAACTAAATCATTAAATATATTTAATATCTGAAATTCTAGCATAAAATATTCCCAAAATAATATTAGTTAGCTGCAATAACTGTGTATCTTGTATTGATGCATTAGAGTAGGGCATGAATGAAAATTTTGACCTGTTTATGTTTGATAAATTTCTATAATAAATGAACATCTTATAAACTGATTATCTAGCAAAAAACCTTGGTAATAATAATGAATGTTTTTCTTTTTGTTTTCTTCCCCAGGTACCTTCATTCAAATAACATAGTTGTAGTTCCAGAAGGTAAGTACACTTAGAATTTTTAGTTAGAAGACAACATAGGTTAAACTTTGCTTTATAAGCAGAACAAATTGTCTTTTTAAACGATTTTGTTTGCTGTATCAGGAAATTTTAATTATGAAGCACCTTTAGTTTATTAGCTTCAAAAGTTATTTTCCCCTAATAAATCCAGTTAACAATTATGATTAAATAAATAATAAGTCTAAGATAGTTATAATTGTGAGGCAAACTATTATTAGATAATTTGTTGCTAAGTAAATAATAAATTCCAAATTTAACAAATCCAATTAAGAATTATGGCTAGATAAAGAAAACTTTGTGTCTTATTTCTTGAATTATTTATTTATTGCAAATTTTGCGTTATTTTAACACTTTTATTTGTGCTCTTTTTTAAAGTTATTATATTTTATCTTGAGGTAGAAGTATTTATCACTTTCATAAAACTTAGTTTGATCTATGCTTTTACTATTTTGTGAGCATCTGTGATAGGGATAGTATGTATTACAATACTTTAAGTTGCAATAAAGATTTAGTTTAATACTTTGAGTCAAATTTATTTTACCTTTCCCATTCTTTTCTCTTTGAAGCCATCGGATCCCTTGTAAAACTCCAGTGTCTGGATCTTAGTGACAATGCCTTAGAGATTGTTTGCCCAGAAATTGGTCGTCTGAGAGCTTTACGTCATCTTCGATTAGCTAATAACCAACTGCAGTTCTTACCTCCAGGTAATCATAGTCTGTAGCATACAATAGTTTCTTGTGTATTATAAGTCTGTTTTTATTCATGTTTCTTATTGTTTGTCTAGGCAATGGGCTATGGATATATTTACAAGTATTTGACTGTCCATTTGTTTGAAGATGAAACTAAGGAATATGAGTGAACTAATACAAACACAATAAGGTGGCATTTATGTTTTAGATAGGGCTATAGTTACTACAATTGTGCATTACAGTCAATGTCACTTCAGATCACTGCCCTGGTGAAATATTTGTACAAAGAGCACTCAAGTTCTGAATTTCACATGAAAATTTAGGTCAACTTTGCATGATATATCATTTTTGTATTCAAAAGGCAGCTACATACAGTGTTTTCCATCATCCTCTGGTGAGATAACTGATGTACATTAACTTTGATTTAAAAAAGAATCATGCTAAAATTTAATAGCACAATTTAAATTTGAGTCCTAAAATTGTCAGTTCTGCCTCCTGAACATCTGATTAGATTTTGATGTGCCATAAAGATAGACAGTACTAAAACCCTACATCCTTTTGAGAACCACCATTAAATCTTGGTCCAGAGACCTTGCTTTGTAAAGCCATACATATGCAAATTCCACTGTCATATATCATTTCCCATATAAAAAAAGATGATGTATACTTTTTAAAATTTTTTAAATGTATGCTTCAGGAAGTACAGGAAAGTTACTATGTATCCAAGAATGAGCAAAGAATGATACAGATGCTGATTTGGCTGGGATTATTTTTACTTATAAGTCTTTTAGGAATATCAGCCAGCCTTTTAATGTATCCAAGTGAAATGTGTGAATCAAACAAAATTACAAATTACTACCTGTCATAGAACTTCAGGGTTGCACGAGATTATTACAAAAACTAATCATGCTAAATCCATGAATAAAAAAGCCTATATTTCTTTGTGATTTTAAAAATACTTTCTTCAAAGTTTTCTTAAGTTCAGAAATTTCTAAATGAAAACATAGTAACTGATTAATTTTTAGACTTTATGTGCTAGCCTTAATATATAGATTTAGTACTCTATAAAAATGGTATAGTATAGCAGTGACTTTGTTTAAAAAATAATTTTTTCAGCCAGGCACAGTGGCTTATGTCTATAATCCCAGCACTTTGGGAGGCAGAGGTGAGAGGATTGCCTGAGCCCAGGGGTTCGAGATCAGCTTGGGCAACTTGGTGAGACTTCATATCTACAATAAATCAAAAAACTAATCAGGCATAGTGGTGTGTGCCTGTGGTTCCAGCTATTTGGGAGGCTGAGGTGGAAGGATCACCTGAGCCCAGCAGGTCAAGGCTGCAGTGAACATGAGCGTGCCACTGTACTCCAGCCCAGGTGACAGAGTGAGACTAAAAAAAATATGTATATTTTTTAACCTCATAATGAGTGTCTTATTTTTCCAGCTATAGTTAATAAAAAATGTTTAACACAATATAAGAATATGACCTTTCCTTTAGAGTTTATTATATATCTTCAGACTCAATGGTTTTCATCATTCTAGTTTTCATCAAGTTTGTATATTCAGATACCCAGAAAATTAGATTCTCTTTTGAAGATTGACTAGAAAAAACATCAGAGAAAGTAATGCTTAAATGTTAATAGTATTTTCATGTCAAATTTATACAAGATATACAATATTATAGAATCAAAATGCATGATATATTGCTGTATTTATAAAGTTTTTAAACATATGTTTAAAGAACATATAAAAATGCAATTCTATGACAAACCACCATTCTGTGTGTTGTATCGTTCTTTTCTATAACATAAGAACATTTTGTGGTAGAATGTGGTCATTTCCTTCCATTGTATATTCTTAGATATTAAGGATGTACTTCTAAGATCACTGACTGCTTCCTAATACTGACTACTTCCATATAATTTTTTTTATATCTCATCTGTTATGTAAGAGATTTAAGTCTTCTGATTTTATTTTCCTAGCTTTATTTCTTTTGTCTATGTTTGGTTTTGGTTGTTTTGGAATGAAATTATATGCAGTAATAGCTGTGTATTTTGGATAGGAACTGTTGATTGAGCCATGTATATAGGCATTATTTTTTCTGGTTCACCATAAGTAGCAGTGCACTAGGGCTTACTATTATTTGGCTCACTGTATACATCTCATTATGAGATAATTTCAAATGTTATGATTCGAACAGGTAAAGGGATAAGCAAATGTCCCCCAAATGTTTGATTGGACTTGGAGACATACTGTGGAAAAGTATTCTAAATGTAGGGAAGAAATGTGAGTGACTGTCATGTTGTACCCATTTGATGACAGCAGACACCAGTTGATACCTTACTGATACCATCGACAACATAGTCTATGCTGTGTGTACAGACTTCTAATATGTAATATTCCTTCAAAAGACTTAACATTTTACCATGTTTTTCTGTTGTGGTTGAAAAACCTTTGGATGTAACTTCATATCCAATATTTAAAATTTGAAAAATGTTAGAGCAACATTTGAAAAATTTAGATGGATATAGGGAATTTTACAATTAGGATTTGAGAAGGAATCACAGGACTTTTATGAACTGAAATTGTATGCACAGTTTGGTGTTTGTGAGAATGTACATATTACTGTGAAAAATGTCCAGTGTCTTCAGCAGTTTCTCAAACAGACTTATGATTATATGATTTATATGAGTTGAGTTGTTTGCCATGACTCATTTTTCTGGGAATTTCCTTTTCTCATTCTGCTGGATTGCTGGGTACTGCCTTTTGCTATCACGTGCCATTGCTTTCTCTCCACATTTGCTTGGTTCCGGTGTAGTACCTGACTCAGGAAAGACCAGTTCTTTTCCTGGGAATTCTGGAAAAGGCGACAGGAAAGAAAGAAAGAGAGCAAGAAAGGAAAGAAAGCAGGGAAGGAAGGAAAGAAAAAACAGTTCCTCTTTCTTTCTATGCTACTGCACAATATTATGTTATCTTGTGAGGTGCTAGTAGTAGCCATGTGGACTGGGTAACAGAACAAGAGAATGATGAAGCAAAGAGAAGGTGGAAAAGACTTCATAAACTTTCTTTAATATTTAACCACTGGTTCAGTTCTTGATACCCACAGGCTTTGTTTAGTGTAGTGCTAGTTAGTGTCTATGAATTGCAACCAGAAGAGTGCCATGTAACGTAGCTGACCCAGAGGCTTAAAACAGCTTGTCTGTGTTGGGCGCAGTGGCTCAGTCTGTAATCCCAGCACTTTGGTAGGCTGAGACAAGAGGATTGCCTGAGCCTGGGGGTTCGAGACCAGCCTTGTGAGACCTTGTCTCTACAATAAATCACAAAACAATTAGCAGGGCGTGGTGGCATGCGCCTGTTATTCCAGCTACTTGTAAGGCTGAGGTGGAAGGATTGCCTGGGCCCAGCTGCGGTGGCCGTGCAGCATGCCACTATACTCCACCCTGGGCAACAAAACAAAAAACGAAAAAAAACTCAGCTTGTCTGAGGTATAGGAATTCTCCTATTAACTGTTATGCTTTGAAATTGTAGAAGTTGTTACTAATATTAGGAAGTCCAGGGCTAGTAATAGCATCATCAGTAATATGTCTGTATAAAGTGGTTAAATGTTTGTCACCAGTTTTTTGCGTTTTTATGATATACTTGGTACCCTTTCTATTAGATGTTACCTCTCCCTCCCCCCAGCACAAATAATACTTTGGGAGGTGCAGAGAACAGTCACATGTAAGTGACAGGATGTAGAAATGTAAGGAACATAGGCAAACACTCTTCTAATTTCTTTCACCATGGATGATTTGCCTTTTGTTGATTCAACAATTTGGTTTTGGTTCCTCTGTGACTTCTTTCTTCTTCTTTTGGATTACTTGAATATGTTTTAGTGTTCCACCTTATTTTCTCCATTGGCTTTTCTCTAGGATTCACAATATTCCCCCTTATTACACTTAGAATATTGTACCATTTCATATAAAATAAATATTAAATATTATTATACATATATTACAGTATACTGTCTTTGCCCTTCTTCCTTTGTGCTATTGCATCATATATTTTATTTTAATATGTTATAAACTCTGTATTATTTTTGTTATCATTCAATCAAGAGAATTTTTAAAGATAGTCTTTATATTTACCCACATATTCACCATTTCCAGTGCTCTTTGTACTTTCCTCTAGATCTGTTTTCCATCTGATATCATTTCTCTTCAGTCTAAAATATTCCTCTTAGTATTTCTTGTAATGCAATTCTTCTGGCAATGAACCAGTTTTTCTTTATACAAGCATGTTATTTCACCTTCATTTTTGAAGAATATTTTTTCGGAGATAGAATTCTTAGTTGGCAGGATTATTTCTTTTAGCACTTTAAAGATGGTCTTCCGTTGTCTCCTGGCCTCCGTTGTTTTTTATGAGAAGTCAGTTGCACTTTGTATCATTGTACTATCTTTCTTTCTCAGTGACTGCATTAAGATTTTTCTCTTTAATCTTTATCTTTTCTTTTTATCTTTGGTGGTATCAGATTTCCTATGATGTATCTTGATGTAGGATTTTTTTTTACATGTATCCTTTTTGCAGTTTTCTTAATTCCCTAATTGGGAAGATTTTGTCATTTTTTTTTCTTTAAATATTTTTCTTCTCTATGTTTCCTATCTTTCTGGAACTCTAGTTAAACACATTAGATCATTTGGTATTCCAAATTCACTGAACTTTGTTCTTTTAAAATTTAACCTTTTTGCCCTCATCTAAAGATTAGATAGTATCTGATGATCTATCTTCTCCATTGCTTCTTTTGTGCTCTCTGATATGGTATTTATTATGCCCTTCTGTCTTAGTTCATTCAGACTACTATAAAAAATACTATAGACCATGTATCTTATAAACAAAAAAACTTACTGCTCACAGTTTTGGAGGCTGGAAAGTCCAAGATCGAGGTGCTGACAGATTTGGTGTCTGGCGGGTTCCTATTTCCTGATTCTTAGATGGCATCCTTTCACTGTGTCCTCACATGGTGAAAGAGGCAAGGCAGCT